GAACTTTAACCGACATAAATTTGTTTGCAACATCTTCCAAATTTAAATTAATCAAAACATTTTTTTCAATTGATAATAAAGTTAGATCAGATGTTCTTTCCTGTGTCATGGTACTTCTTAAATAACTTTTAAGTCTCCTTAATACACTAAATGATTTTTCGGCACTCGCAACTCCGATAGGTAATGTTATGAATATTATAAATTTATAAATGTTTATCATGCACCGAGGGCCCGCAGATCCCGGGGCCCGTCAGTGCATCGCACCGGTTGCACCGACGTTAAATACGCCTCTGTCTCTCAGCTGCGAAAACCCAGCTGTGTGTTTTCAGCTGGAGGGATAGAAAGTTGATGGAACCCGTTTATACGGGCGGCAGACTATCGTATAGGCGTCGAACTCCGTGGATTACGGTGCAGGGGGTTAGAGTGGTCTCGTCACCCAGAGTAAGGTTTCTCGGAACGACTTTTCAGTCAGACTTAGGCTGGACACATCACGTGTTAGGTCTGGAGAGACGGTGTGCCAATTCCTTGCGTACGCTTAAGTGCCTCGGACGCACGTGGTGGGGCGGGGACCCACGTTTGTTGTTAGGTTTGTATAGGGCTGTGGTTCGATCCAGGCTGGAGTATGGAGGTTTCCTCCTTCAGGGTCTCTCTCGTAGGCTGGATAAACTACAGATGCGCGCTTTGAGGATTGTTTTGGGATATATAGAACTTCAACCCCCTTAAATGTGATCTTGGGAGAGGCTCGGGAGCTCCCTCTGTTTGTTCGTTTCCGCTTCTTGTGCCGAAACTTCTTGTCGCGAGCGGCCACTATGACGGCCCACTCGTTATGGGATTTGTTAAGTAGTATTCGATCATCTAGACCGGGTCTCCCTGGTGCTAACCGGGTGGGTGCTTTCCCTCTCGTGAAAGCCTTTGACGAGGTGGACCGGTGGACCCGCCCCTTGTTTTTGTCAGATGTTCCGATATGTTTTGCTTTCGGCTTTAAACCATTGGTGTCAAGTTTACCGGTCGACCTCTTCGCCGGGTTTTCTGTACGAGAAGGGATGAACGCAGAGGCAAAGTTCAGGGAAGCTTTTGATGAAGAGTTACAGAATTCAATGTGCGCAGAATTCACGGACGCCTCGAAGTCGGAGGGGGCTCCGTGTTCGGGTTACGCGCTGGTCTCTCAGGATGAACGTTATGTGCGTTGTTACAAGTCGGTGGGCTTTGTCTCCTCGTTTTGCGTGGAGGCCATGGCCATTGTCGAGGCTTTGGAGCTGGCACGAACGGAGGGGTGGCGGTCGGTTGCAATTTTCTCAGACTTAAGGTCAGTTCTCTCAGCGGTACAGGCTAAGTTCGTTCCGGGCAAAAGCTCGTACCTCGTGCTCCGGATCAAGTCTTTGGTCCTGGGGTTAACTGAACGGGGGATGCGGGTAAAGTTGGTGTGGATTCCTGGTCACTATGGAGTGGCGGGCAATGAACGGGCGGATGCCCTTGCTAGGGACGCGGTGGTGTGCGGAAGGAACTTCCAGGTGGGCGTCCCCCTGGGTGAAGTTAAGAATTTCTGGAAAGCAAAGGCAAGATCAGAGCTGTTGGAATGATGTCGAGAAGAATCCAGAACTAGGGGTAGCTATTATTGGGGTCAGTTTTTGACCGATGCCCGAAGACCTTGGTTTGAGCAGTTGAACCTAAGCCGCAGGGCGGTGACCTCCCTCAATCGCCTCCGCAGTGGGCACACTTCCTTGCGCGCGAGCCTTTCCAGGTTCAGGATCGTGGACTCCCCCTTTTGTTAAACGTGCGGCCTTGAAGAAACACCAAACCATATTTTCTGAGAGTGCCCAGAATATGAAAACCAAAGAAAGCTGTTACGGTCTGCCCTGGTCCGCGTAGTCGGACACCTCCTTCACCCAGTCGAATTTCTGTTATCTTGTCTAGATAATGTGGTGACGGCAATAGTTTGCAGATTTATATGTTCTTTACCTATTTACATTTAAAAGTTAGTTTAAGACGTCTTGAACTCATTGTAATTGTTTCGTTTCCGTGAGTGTCTGTTTAGACAGTTGTAATGAGTGGTAACTTTCGTTAGTTACCGTCCGCCATGGTAAGAGTCAGCTTTTATTTAGTTTTATCAATGTAAGAGACATTACTTCATTTGTTTTCTGATCACCTGACTCTCGCTACAGCGGGTTTAGTAGTTTTAGTTTGTTTTGTTCTCTTATGTCATGGGTAGCTACTCCTTCTTTAGGGAGTCGTGTACGTATAATCACTAGGATAACTTTGTAATTTTAAGTTGCTTCAGACCCGACTCCGGTAGTTTCTGTGTTTTGTTAATTTTAATTTGATTTAACTGTTAGTTTTTAGTTTTTGTTGCGGGGTTAACGAAGCTTAAACTTTGTACCTCTCGGTGCATTGTTGCGTCTACCTCGGTGCGATAAACGTCGTGTACAAATCTTTAGCTTTAAGGTGCGTTTCAGGAGAGTGCCCTCTACACACTACTCCTGCGTAGTGCTACCCGTTTATGTAATCACTTGGTTTTCTTATGTGACATGTACTAAGCCTAATAGGAGCGATTCCTGGGCTGTGTTCAGTTAAGCAAGATGGAACGAACTAATGCAGGAAATGCAGGAAATACAGGAATTGGAACTAATGAATTCCTGTATTTCCTGCATTTCCTGCATTAGTTCGTTCCATCTTGCTTAACTGAACACAGCCCTGGGACGTCTTTTTTACCTTAATAAAAAAAAAAAAAATCCTTATATAGCACAAAGATATTGTCTTTATTAGACTATGTAAATGATTTTCCTCTTCCGACGTATCAAACATATGATTGCGAAGTTCTAAAAACAAATTTTTTGCGACTAGATTGGCGAATACCGCATTTACGATGATGTGATTTAATCCTGGCGTATCGATAGGCAACTCATAAGTAGCTCTTCGAAACATCTTTTCAGTCACAGTACAGATCGCTATAACGTGGAGAAGGAAATATGAGACCACCATTCGAGTTTTGAAAAATTAACTTAAGCCTGTTGTCGTTGGGATTACCACTACAGAGAACAGAACAACAAAACATACATTGTACTCGCTTAAACACTATTCGCACGACGTAACCAGCAATTAGCGCGACTGTATTTTTGGTGAATTCGGATAACGGAGAATAATTTAGAAGCATTCCCAAATCTAACTCCATCAATTCGTTGTCAACTCCGTCTTGTTCGTCATTAAAGCCTCTTGCACAATGGACGGAATAGCGATAGCGATAGAAATAACAAAAGTTTTAAAGAGTTTATATTTAAAAATAAAGGTAGGAACAGCGGAATCTAACATACAAAATTACACATGTATCAATGCAGATCAGAAAATCGGAATAAGCAATAGCGATAAAATTTCCGACGAGTTGGAATTCTGTGTTAAAAACTGTGTTATTTCTATCGCTATCGCTATTCCTTCCATTGTGCAAGGGGCTTAATATTCGATGGCAGAGCGTCCAAATTATCTGACCGAGCTGTTTCATTGTCAGTAAAGTTGTCATCAATGTCGTAGGCGCGAGAAAACGCACATGTTAAAGAATCGCATTGAGCTACGGTGTCTCGATACCGAGTGATAGACTTTCGAGTCGCAAAAAGGATTGTAGTTTTCTCCATGGCAGTTACGTTGCCATTTGAAGCCTTTATCTTGTGTCTCACTAGGAAACGTTTATAAGCCGAATATAAGTGACGTGGTGTAGGATTAACACACCATCGTCCTCTAGCTCAGATTGCGTTAAAAAATAACTCCAGATGATCTTGCGACATTTTATACGTAAGAAGATACTTCAAGTGGGTTTCGTGACTTCCTACTAATTGATCAAATATACAAACTATACTTTCATAGGACAAAACAACTCCAATGAAACCAGTTTTTCTTGAACTGTCGACCAAACGAGTCCCGTTTTTCCACCGAAGCGACAAAATGTATTGAATTGTCTCGTGCAAAAAAGGCCGCCAGCTGCTTTCATTTTTCGTCGATAGTGGAGCCTTAAAACCGCGTCCTAGCGGATTTCTAGAGTTTATGATATCGAACCATCGATCAATTCTTCGAATAAAGTCAGTGGTTGAAGCGCTGGCTTCAAAACCAGCCACTTTAATGTCACGGCAGAAGTCTATTGCATCAGCGACACTAGAACTAAGTGTCTGAGCAGCGAGATTTACTTTCATATGCTCGAGGAGAATAAAAGTGTAACGTTAAAGCAAAAGCACGCAAAGTAGAAGAATATTTTCTGGTGACTCTCTTCCCACCAGTCGCATGCATTTGTACACACCTTTCATAGAGTTGTAGGGGAGATCCACCAAATACTTGTTCAAGATGGTCAACGACTTTCGGTTTAGCAATCATCTTTTCCTTCATAATTTTCAACAAAGATTTTAACTGCGACACTTTTATCGTCGCTCGTCGATACTTCTTCATTGTGGAACGAGCTATTTTTCCGATCATAATTTTCTGAGAGCGCGTAAAGTCTAATTTTCGTCGCAAGTATCGTGGACTGCTTATATAACAGTGATCATGGCGTGCATTTCGTGTTGTAGTGGTTGGCGTGGATGATCCTTGCAGTAATTCTTCCTGACGAGGTGAAGAAATATCACGTGTATTGCAAGACTGCAGCTGAAATAGTTTTTCCACATTAGCTATCTTTTCCTCTAATGTCTGGATTTTTTTTTCCAGTGTCAAGCATCCGGTGCACGCATTCTGCAAACAGAAATAAATCGTGATAATCGTAATAGTTACAAGTAATAATTAAGACACAAAAAAAATTTGACAATAATCGATTATTTTAGATAAATTGAACGTTTCGAAAAACCATTCTGAAATTTAAATGCACCATTTGTAATTTTAAAGACATTCTGCAAAAGATAGTGTCACATCTTATAATATTAAGACTATCCACTAATAAAAATTATGAATTATATACACAAGTTAGTTTTTGTAACAGACACATCAAAAAAATTATTCAATGTGCATTTTTTCATTTTGTATTTCACTTACCTTTTTGTTTTCTTCTTCTTGCACTGTAGCCATTACTTTTTTATCTTCCAGTTCATTTATCTTCACTTTTGGAAGAATGTAATGCAATCGATGAGATTCAGGTGTTTCAGAACTGAATTTAGGTTGCCTGTTCCGTCGTTTTGGAGCATTAGGCTCGCACTGTAATACATTAAAATGCTACTGTAATAGCCTGTAAATTGCATAATTTAAAACTCGTCAAATCCAAACAGACTGACATTTACACTATCTGATATCTGCCTATCTCATGTACTATAAGATGTTGAGTTTTTTTATAATTAGACAGTTTTATAATTAAACAGAACAATAAGTAGATTCTAAAAACCTTGGTTCTTAGTTTAGAATCATACTTATACATAGAATGATGTATAGACTAGCTGTATCCAGTCCGCTGAGCCAATTTTGCACCAATCAACCAACCTAAAATTTACTTATCATAAAAACCTTAGCGCTATTATATATAACTTACCAAAAAGACTGAAGGACATGCTGAAATTTTCAACATACGGCTACTTGTTGTAACAAGGTAATCGCTCTTAAGGAAATGTTTGGAACATAAAACAGATTGTTTTGTCTTTTTAAAGCTTTCTGGCTTACAATTATGCATTTCCAAAAACGCATATATTCTATCAATCCATTGTTGAGTTCGATTCGAATCTTTCACTGGAAATCTACATAAAAGATATGTAAATATTTAAGCAATTAAAAATAAAAAGTATGTAAAAATGTAAGCAGTAAAAAATATTATTTCTATCTACAACATCCTGACCTAACCTAACCTAACGATCCGTGTTCCACGCACACGGATGGCGGTTCTCGCTTGTGTGCGTGTTCCCAGTGGCTCCCAACACCTCGGTGCTCTCGGTGCTAGCCGGCTCGAGTTTGCAACTATGGCCCACACCCGGGCACGCAACACCTCATGTCGCTAATATTACAGATGTTTTCACATATACTTATATAACCGTAAAGCCTATGTCACACTACGGATTGGGATTGAGATTAGATTGACATTTGACCAATCAGAAAAAAGAGAATCAATTCTAAGTGTACTGATCTTCTCTCTGATTGGCCAAATTGCAATTCAATCTCAATTCTAATCCGTAGTGTGACATAGGCTTAACACGTTTCTACGCGTGCTAAGAGAATGCTTCTAATTCATTATAGCGGGATGCGGAACGCACTTTTGATTTGCTAAAATACCAGGCCAAACAAAAATGGCGCTGTTCAATTCGTGCCACGTCTCGCTTTGCTTGTTAGGCGAAAATGCGCATTCCAGTGTATATAGAGTTCAGTGCCTTCACCTCGGGAATAATTTCTAGCATGAGCAAGCGCCTTAACCGTGCTCTATACAGACTTAACGTCGGAGTTGGCATAAAGAGAACCGCAAAAGATTTTAAAAGCTGCACGTTTCTTCTTACGTAAGAAGCGCACAACTTCTTTGGTGATCGCGCAGTATGCATTCAGATTGGCCAGGCTTGGGTGTTGGAGACTGCGCACGAGCTACATCTCCTGTGTATCCCAGTCCTGCTTTAATTTCCTGTGCCTTGTTCTGAGTCACTTATACATAGCGAAATCATTTGGATTTTCTGTCGTAAATAAAACTCAGGTATTTGGAGCCTAAGTTCTCCACTAAATCTGTCGTTTTCACGACAAAAGCGGCCTTACGGTCTGACGACCTGTGGGTTCAACCGCGCGGACGCCATCTTGCCTTACTTTCAAACCGAAGTTGAAAGTCTTCTGTGCGATTAAAACCTCTAACCAGGTTTAGTTGTTTCTCAAAACTTTACTCGCGTGTTAGTGCAGTGCAGTATAGACACAGTGAAACGCGTTTCGAGTTGAGACTACGAGGATGACCAACGAAACGGTCGACGTAGACATGTCAGAGACGGGCTTCCCGCCGGGGGAAAACATAACCCCCACTCTTAACAGCCATGTCCCTGTGCCCGCTGCAGCGCCGGGTAGTGACCGCGGGACACGTAGTGTGTCCCTGGTTGATTCCCCCTCTCGCTCTTTCGACTCCACGGAGTCCGAGGGGACAAAGTCTTCAAAGAAGAAGGGTGGCGTCGGTCCATCTCCCCCTTTCAAGCGTACGTTTTCAGCGATGTCTAGTATACAAAGGCAGCTCGTACTCAATAGGTACCATAAAGATTCCAAGGGCCCTTTTATGGTACACATCGAAACTTGCCGTCCACAACCCTCCTCCACAGAAGAGGATGGCCCTGAGAAAGAACGTAACACAGGTAAAAAAGGAACCTCGCTTAGCGCCATCAGCCTGGGCAAGAGGCTCAACCGTCTTCTTTTAAACCAGTTCTTACTTGCTTTTGACTTACGTATGATCGGCAGAAATAGGTTTTCGGTCTACTTCCCCACAGGTAATGATGCTAATCGATTTGTCGAGGCCTTCCGGGAAGTCGCTGATAGAGTAACCCCTTGTGAACAATGGACAGCGCATGTCCCGTCGTTCAGGGTGGTCAAGCAGTTTGTTTTGAAAGGTGTTGACGAGGAGGAAACTGTCGAGGAGTTGTTGGCCGGTCTTTGCCCCCTCCCCCCCCGGGTGGGGCCAGGAGTGGATTCCTCCTTTCGAGGCAGTCAGAATCACTCGCAGGGAAAGGGGAAGCGCCACCTCCAGCCCTAGGTATGTAAACACAAACCAGCTCATTCTAAGGTTCCGCACCCCTGTGGTTCCTCCGTCTTGCTTGTATGTAGGGAAACGTCTTTCCCTAACACCTTACGTGTATAAGGTTAGACGTTGCGAGTTCTGCCAAAGGTTCGGACACACCGCTCATTCCTGTAAACAGTCCGGTGACGAGAGACGCAGGATCTGCGAAAAGTGTGGCAAGTCGGGCCACTCTAAACCCAATTGCCCGAATATTCTGGACGAATGCATAAACTGCATCCGTTTCAAGGCCGGAAACACCAATCATCAGTCCTCAGAACTCCGTTGCCCCGTTTTCCAGAGACAACGTGAGATACATAAAATTATGGCTTATAGAGATCTCTCCTTCCGTGATGCGGCTAGTCTGTATGACGAAGGAGGTACTCTTTCGGGACTGGACTCTAACCTGTCCAATGTTTCAGTCCCACTCCCCACTCTCGGTGAAATCTTTCCTAATAGAGATGTCTTCCGGTTTTCAGGGGGTGGAGTGCCAAGTTCCTCCGTACCTTACAGACCAACCGTGGCTAATCCGAGGACGCCCTCCCCACAGGTCGGGTCCATTCCTCCTCCTGAGGGTTCAGACGGTCCTCTGTACAACTCTTCACCCACTTCTAACCTCTCCTATGCCGAGGTTACCTCTCTAAAGCCTCTTCTCCTCTCAGTACGTTTCCCACCTGTATGGAGAAACAACAGAGGAAGAGTAACCTCCTCCTCCTCCTCCTCAAACAAAAGATCTTCAATTAATCACTCTCTCATAGACTCCATTGCTCAGAAAATGTCTTCTGGCAATAACTCAACTGAAGAGGAACCTTCCAAACCCTCTTCGGATAAAGAGTATCTCATTGATGCCTTTCAGAAACTAAAAGTTACTCCTAACACAAACCCATCGCAGCTTAGCAACACAGACATGACAAATATTGTTACAGAACTACAAAAGTACCTATATGGTACTCAAGAGTCGTAGAATTATTTTACGTTCGCTATTAAGTGTATAACAACATGAAGTCTCTTACAGTAGTCCAGTGGAATTGCAGATCTTTGGTTCGCAATCTTGACGCGGCCCGTCTGCTACTCCGGGACTGCAACGCTGAGGTAGCAACCTTCTGCGAAACACACCTCGATGGTAATTCCATAATCACCCTACCTAATCATGAAATCGTATCACACGATCGCAACCGTAGGGGTGGTGGAGTTGCCATCGCTATAGCAAAACACATTAAATTCCGCGTTCCGGAAATCCCACAGCTAGTAGATTTATGCAAGAATAACTGCGTTGAACTCGCAGTTGTTGAACTGTTTCTTCCGAATTCTCAAACCCTTTATGTTTTCTCCCTGTATAGTCCTCCTAGATCTTCTACAAACTATACGGCTCCTTGCTTTTGGCAAAATTTCTTCTATTTAAGCTCCAATATCCAACCAGCGGTCATTTGTGGTGACTTTAATGGGAAAAGTTCCCTGTGGTGCAATACTCACCCTCTCTCTAATAGAGAAGGGAAAAACTTAGAACATGCGCTAGTCAATTCTCCCTGGGTAGTTCTTAACGACGGTAGCAACACATGGTCCTCCGCAGACCTTTCTAGGTCCTCTGCGATAGACCTCACCATAGTTTCTGACGTACTTGCCCCCCTTTGTACTTGGAACGTGTGTGACTTCCACTATGGTAGTGACCACTTTCCAATAATCACCGCTATCTCTGACAGGTTCTCCGGTCGCATTCCTTGCCGGCCCTACTACTCTGTAAAACAAGTTTGTTAGAAAGAGTTTCAATCCGAGTGTCAAGAAGAGGTGGACACTCTCCCTCCACTGGACCCTTCAGGAGATGTAATTTTTGCTTATTCTAAGCTTTTGAACCTTGTTGACAACTCCCTCCTCCAGTCAGGAGCTACTCGTACAACCTCCTCAAGAGCCTCCAGAAGACCTCCCACTCCTTGGTGGGATGCCTCCTGCTCGGACATTTACGCCCGCAAGAGGACCGCGTTTGCTCAGTTTCGTTCACACCCTAACATAGACAACTTAGACAACTACTGTCGAGTTGCAAATGAGGTATCTAAAGCCCTAAGGAAAAAGAAACGCCAAGCCTTTCGCAAATACTGCAGCTCTCTACACGCCAACTCAGACATTGGGTCTATGTGGAGTACTGTCAAGGCCTTCTCTTGCGCTCGTAACAAGCCAAGAGATGAAGGCAATAGAAACTGCCTTGACTTGGAGGTTTTCCGGAAAGCTTTTGACAAAATCGCTTCTGTTGACCATCCTCCTCCTGATCATTCCAACCTTCTTGAGACACTAAACCTTTTAAATTCTAACCTCAGCAACGAGTATCTGGATAATCAGATTACATCCGCGGAGTACTTTTCGGTGATAAAGTCACTTAAGATTCGGTCAGCCCCTGGTCCTGACCTTATCACGAACCTCATTATTTCACAGTTACCATTGGTGCTTCATATGTATATAATCAAACTCCTTAACTTAATGTTTTGCAAGCAGATTTATCCACCCTCGTGGAGAGACTATTTCGTCATCTTTATCCCAAAACCGGGACGCAAAGGCGCTTATAGACCAATATTTTTGGCTAGCAACCTTCTCAAAGTCATGGAAAAGGTTATATGTCGTCGACTGGAGTGGTGGATCGAGAACAACAATATTCTCTCCCCACATCAGTTTGGTTTCAGACGCGGACTTTCTTGCACAGACAACCTAACCATGCTAGTGTCTAGCATCAAGATCGCTAAAAACTCTCGTCAAGTAACCGGTGCCGTGTTTCTTGACGTTGAAGGGGCTTTCGACAATGTTGTGCCTGACACACTGCTGGCCATGTTGCCTGCTTTTGGGATTTTCCCCAAAATGCTAGCGTTCCTGGCTTCTGTGGTGAGTTTCAGAAGACTACAAGGGTATGCTTCTGGCACTTACATTCAGACCCGCAATACAAGTCGTGAACTTCCTCAAGGGTCTGTTTTAAGTCCCATACTATTTAACATCTATGTGTCACGGGTTGAGTCCTGCCTACCAGCAGGTGTCAAAGCCCTTGTTTACGCCGACGACGTAGTAATCTTCCGCTCCAACCTCTCAGTGTCAGACGTCGCT